TGGAATGCCAGCACAGTGACATGCAGTGCAACTTGTCAACGTGCTTCTATTTGCATTATACAAGGTTCTTAATTACAAATTACATTACAGTGTGGGGGGTAAATCACTCTTATTTCTGGGGGGGAATAAATATTTCTTTGAACCTCAAGCACAACCAGAATCAGGACTTGAACCTGGATGATGGTGGCCAACACTCCCAAACACAGTGCCTTCCCCAACTGCTTTCACATAACCTGAAAAAAAAATTGCATGAGAAGTGTCTTTGAAATTTTAACATGAAGTTCAGAATTTTTAAATATGTGGTCCACATTTTGCTTTAATGACAGTGAGCACTCGAGCTGGTAAAGAACTCCATAAGTTTGTGTAAAAGCCTCTGATGAGCCGATCAAATCCACCTAAGAGTGGTCCAAACATGAGCTTTAATGAAGAGACCGAAAAACTATTTTTGTACGAAGGCCATAAAATAGTCAATATCACAAATGTTGCTTTAGTTTGAATAGTGAGCTAAAAATAGTGCTGAATCTTCAATATTTCTTTACCTGTCTTCAGTTTTCCTTGTTTTAATTTTGTCAAACTACTAAACTTTTCTGTATTTTATTTTCAGGCTTAAAATGAAAAACCATCCCTTTTTTCCATGTGGTCTCAGACTTTTGGACCCCCAAAGCACAAGATTCTCTTCTTTTAAGATGGAACTTACACCATATCCTTTGCTCAGTAATATTACTCATTGAAATGTCATTAAACTGCATCAATTCATTCTACATATTCTATATTTTAAGCTTGTAGCCTGTTATTTTACTGTTATTCACAGTTCCTCTTGGTTTGTTCCTACATGGTATTTTTACTTTTTGACATTGGGTCTTGTTTTATCATTTCAGTTGTAATATCATAAATGAATAAAACACATACAGTTAATATATACTTTTTCTTATTGTTGTTTTTATTATTATTTCTATGACTATATGTGAATGTATGTGTCAATTTGCACAATAAGCATCCAGTTTCTCAGAGCAGAGAAACTGCGCCCTCCTTCTGTCAATTCACAAACTGCAGACAGAGACATCAGTGATGACATCAAACCTCACAGACTCTCAAAGTGGCAGTAGAGACACTAATTATACCTCTGAATAGAAAATATTAAAGAAATATCTGGTAAATAACTATCAAAATTAGCACAGTTATTCAACAACATAACAACTGTTTCCAAAAAGTTGGGACACTGTGCAAAATGTAAATAAAAACAGAAAGCAACGATGTGCAAATCAATTTAACCCTGTATTATTTTCAGTAAATATAAAGACAGCATATCAACTGTTGAAACTGAGAAATGTTTTTCTTTTTTGAAAAATATATGCCATGTCCATGCCAGCAACGTTTCAAAAAAGTTGTGATGGGGACGTGTTCAATGCAGTGCTGCCTGAAGGCCTGTAGTTCACGGCCATCCACTACTGATTTTTGCCCCATGAATACAAAGATTTCTCTGGATTCTCTAAATCTTTTAATGAAATTATCTTCCATACGGTGATAAAAAATAAAAGTTCTTTGCTATTTTATATTAAGAAACATTATTTTTGAATTGTTATAACCTATGTCTGCACAGTCTTTCACAGAAAGACTGTGAAGAATGTGTGAAGTTAAACCTCAAACAACAAACCACTGGAAAGAGGAAGTTGCCGTCACCATGGCTACAGATACTGAGCTCAGGGAGCAGAGCTGTAATCATGTGCAGTGTTAGAGCTTCTTCATTTACAAAACACCAGAATAAGAGTGTAAAGAAGAAAACAGCCACTACAGCATCTTACAGACAAAATTGATTGTATGCAGTAAAATATGCTGTGTATTTTATTTTTAAATTGATATGAAAATTGATGAAATATGGAAGATATCTACCATTTTTTTGGAATTTTAACTTTATCACAGACTTCCTGTGATTTTGTGAAAGGTTTTAATGAGAAATGCTCCAACTCTTATACATGTATCCAAAAATAATATCTGAAAATATATAGTGAGGTGGAACTAACCTTTCCATGCTGTTTTATCAATGTTTCTAAGCATGTTGTGCTTCCACAGTGTGTTACACTTTAGTGAGGTCAGCAATATGCAGAAATGTAGGGTGAGAGACTTCAAGGTCAGCGGGTTTAAAAGTTTTTGGGACAGACTGGTGTGATATACACACTATGCATGTGCTGTGACTTACGAAATTGCTGCAGATCATCTGTATTTCAACTCATATCCAAATATCTTCTTCTCCACAATGTTGGCCTGACAGCTGTAAACAACCCATCTACTCTGACTGGTCCTAGGCTTCATGTCAAGGAATTTTTAGGAATGCAGGTGAGGATCAATCAGACTGGATGGTTTGTTTACATCTGTCAGAAGATGTAAAGAATCACATGAGGACTGTATAAACACAGGTGTTACTAGAACCCAGCTACACAACATTGACATAACCATCCATAAACATGCCATGGAAGATGCTGTCATTATTTGTCAAGACAAATTTTGTTTAGTATAACCTGATATTACATTATGTTAATTCTGGTAATTATCATGACAGATGCTATAATGTTTGATGTTATGACAGTTTATGCTGATTTTAGCTAAATGTACTCTAGTCAACCTTCAGACTTCTGAACAAATCTGCCCTGAGATTCAGTGTCAGGGCAGCTCTCCCAGCTCAGGAAACAAACATGCATGACCACATATTCAAAGCAAAGTAACGATATTATAAACTTGAAACTAAACTGTGACACAAACCAAGTCAACCAACCAACCAACCAACCGAGTCCTCACATCCCACCACACTGAAAAGCCGACAGTTAATCTGGGACCTCAAATTGGCGAGTCTTGCATGTGAATATTCAAATGGAGGAGGAGGAGGATTTGTTGAGGAAGTAGAGGCCAGAATGAGAGTTGAGGACGGAGAAGCTAATGTTTATTTTTTCTTCTTATTCCCTGCCCTGTAGATTAAATTCCCACCATTAGATATGATTAATCTCTACCAGATTCACTTTGATGTTTGATCTCAGTGCATCAGTGAGTTCACAACTGTTTTCTTTTCCAGCAGCAGGTTTGTGAATGTCTGTGTTATCAGTCAGGCTTTGCTGCAAAAATATGTTTTATCCTGATTCAGAATCAGTTTTGTACACTTTTATTTGAAACAATTAGAAACAAAACTGATCTCAGATCATTTTCTACCCACAATGACGAAATCATTCAGGAGGAAGTGGCTGACTGGTTACTAAGATGGGGTTAAATTCTGTGGTTTCCAAGACGGGCCAGAGAGAGGGTGAGGGGGCGGCGAGAGAGAGAGAGAGAGAGAGAGAGAGAGAGAGAGAGAGAGAGAGAGAGAGAGAGAGAGAGAGATAGAGATGGTTGGGCCTCTGTCACTTCAGGAAGTCTTAAAGCTCTTGTGATAAGCGTCATGTATAAAGACACTGCTCTCTTTGTAAATTTGTAAACTGACCTGTCAAAGGTTTTAAATCATGACCATCATCTGGATCAGCATCTTCATTCTGATGCCTGGTGAGTTTTTCCTCTCACATCTGTGTTGAGTTTAAGATGATCTTTACAAACTCAGAGACACACAGTGTGTTAGATCAGTGACTGATAAAGAACAGAATATTTTCCTCTTTCTCTCACTCATATTTATCACTGTTACTGTCTTAGTGAGACGTTTCTGTGTACAGTTTGTCACTTGTGTTCTACAGCTGACTTTGTGCAAAGTGCAAACTGTTTAACATGAAACAGCATCAAACACACATCAGCTCCACTCACTGTTTAGTCAAATATGACTTTTGTTTATGTGCAAAAGGTTTGCAGCATTTTTCTCACAAAGCTGCTTCACAGAAAGAGGAAGTTGCCATCACCATGTCTACATATATACTCTGAGCTCACTTAGCAGAGCTGTAATTACAGACAATACAGCATCTCAGACAAAATTGATTGTATGCAGTAAATCATAGGGCATTTTATTTTTAAAATGCATGTGAAAATAGATGAAAATATGGAAGATACTTTTTTTTTTCTTTTGAAATGAACATTATTACACACTGTGATTTTGTGAAAAGGCTTTGTGAGAAAAATGATCCAAACAAGTCATATTTGACTAAACAGTGAGTGCACATATGCAAAAATATCTGAATAGATGTAGTGAGGTGGAAATAACCTTTCCATGCTGTTTCATCCATTTTTTCAAACATGCTGTGTTTCCACAGTGTGCTACACTTTAGTGGGGTCAGCAATATGCAGACATGTAGGGTTGAGAGACCTTCAGGTTAGCAGGTTTAAAAGTTTCATATTTTTGCTCACATGCAGTTATCTTCTCCACCATGTCGGCCTGACAGCTGTAAACAAACCCATCCAATCTGATTGGCCCTAGACTTCATCTCAAGGAATTGTGGGAATGCAGGTGAGGATCAATCAGAGTGGATAGGTTTGTTTACATCTGTCAGACAAACGTGGTGGAGATAAGAATCACATGAGGACTGTATAAACACAAGTGTATTAGTTGAGACTGGGCTTAAATCAATGTTTGCTGTTTTATGGTCCACTTTGATAGAAATCTGCTACTGAACATTGACATAACCATCCACAAACATGTCATAGAAGATGCTGTCAAGACAGATTCTGTTCAGTATAACATTATATGCCATTGTTATATTAATTGTCAGATGCCATATGTTTGATGTCATGACAATTTGTCACATACTGATTTTAGCTACATGTACTCTAGTCAGCCTTTATGACATCTGAACATAATCTGTCATGAAAATCTATTGTAATGAATAAGGTGTAACAGGTTACCTTGCAGGAGGTGGGGCTTGAACTCAGACCATCTGGGTGGTGTTCCAGAAGTCAACTGGGTGAGCCACCACAGGGTTTTAGAAGGCAGGACCCAAACGCTAAGCTTCTGTGTGGTTGGAAGGTATGATTGAAATAACATAAAACCACAGAAACCGGGACTCAAATGCACGGCGCCGCGTTGATAAACAGGCGCTCTACCACCGCACTATAGAGGCCGTCTCACGTAGCGCCTGAAAACAGGTAGAAAACAAATGGCAGTTTGAAAACCCACCTGGACTGGCTCTCTCAAACAGGGAGAATTGGATTGGGTGGTTGATTCCCCCTGGTGGCCGATGGTGGCCTAGCCCTGGAGCCAACCCTTACATAAGGTGAGGCAGGAAGCATGAGTGAGAGTTTCACTGTAGGGAATCTAACAGTCTATTTGGAAAAACTTTGGATGGTTTCCATTTACACTTGTCACTAAAATGAATCTGCAGTTTGAATAGATAAGATCTGTTTATACTTTTCTCACATAAAAAGCACATCAACAAATTCATCATTTCTGTTTTAAATTTCTTTACCTTTTTTGTTGTTACAAGCTTGGTGCTAAAATCAGCCTCAGTTTTTTGCTTCATAGTTTATCTTCTTAGTTGCCAGTCAGCGCTCGGCAGACGCACTTATGTACATGTGACTAAATACAGATAATAATGAATGTATTCCATTTACACTCATTAAGTGTGGTCAAAATCATCTCTGACTACCTCCGATTGTGGTTTGAGTGATCCGATTGCATTCACAATGCGTTCTGTGGGTGTTTACATCTAGATTTTCACGCAGTTACCTTTTTTCTTGTTACATGAAACACGAACAATATCCAATCACCAATAATCTGATTGTTCAGTCTCAGTTTAGCTCCCTCAAATCAGGAAACAAGGAGGCACAAACACACTTTTAAACAAAGTAAAGAAAATATAAACTTGAAACTAAACTGTGAAACAAACCAAGAACTAAACTACAGCTTAACTTTATAGACTCTTCACAACCCACCACTCTGAAAAGATGATCATTAATTTGGGACCTCTTGCATGTTAACTTTGACTGTCTACAGATTAAATTCCCTCCATAGACAGAATTAATCTCTACTAGATTCACTTTGATGATGAGTTTACAAGTGTTTTCTTTTCCAGCAGCAGGTTTGTGAATGTCTGTGTTATCAGTCAGGCTTTGCTGCAAAACAGACTTAATATCCTGATTCAGAATCAGTTTTGCACACATTCATAACAACTTTAACTGTTAGAGGAACATACTGGTGTGGGATACAGAGGACTAAAGCACTTACTTAGGATTTCTCAGAGATTCTATTACTGGTTACAACTGGTGAATGACAGACGGTTCAGACTGATATCAGAAATATGATACATTTTCCTTTGTGGTCAGTGAAATATTAATGCCAAAAGATGAATTAAATTTATGCTGTATCTATTTCTTTTCTTTAGATGCCCATCGCTCCACATATTCTCCTCCATCAGTACAGATATAATCCACATATCACTCTCTTTTTCTCTCTGCAGGTATGAGCTCTTCCTCTCTCTGTTTTCTTACTTGTGTCTCCATTAGATAATCTATTAAACCATTAATGCCTGTAAGTCTATTATAACTTCTGTACTATGACAACTCAAGATGAAGTATAAACCTAATAACTGCAAAGAGTGCCATCTTTAACATTAGACACATTAATTAGCATCTGTGTATGTAATTCTATTCAGATATTGTTTATTAGAGGTAAACAAAATAATAGCTAGTGATAATGCATAACTTCAACCAATGTAATCAATCATATATATATATATATATATATATATAAATGTAAATTGCCTCACACATCTACCATCCAGGCTGTGTTGGATGTAAAGCTGCACATTTTCTAATAAGTGAAGCTCATTGTTGATTGCCTCATTGTTCAAAAGTCACTACGCTCTATACTCTCTCTAATGCTAATGCAGCAGTTGCCAAGGTGGTAACTCATGTTTCATTATACTGTACCCTGTATATGTCCAAAGAGAGTAAAGTTGAATATAACTGATTTTTACAGGGTACAGTGTACTGTAAGCTATGAGATTATTGATAAACTACAGTATTCTGAAATAAAGAAAATATCTTAACGTTCTGTAATGAGTCTTATGTCCAACATCCAAATGATCAAAGTGAGAACAGAGACAGCACTGAGATGATAAACATGTGATTAATGCATTTTACTGTTGCACTGAACTTCCTTTTATAGGATGCATGTGTCGTTCTTAGCTGCAGAAAGAGTGTCTGAGATGTGTCTGTACTATCAGTGCAAATATGACGTCTTTCTGTTTTACATGTCTAATATTAAAGTTATTTGATATTAAACATGTAATGATGCAGGACTTTATCCAGTTCCTCCTCTTCTCCTGATACTGTATGAAGCAGTAATGATCACTGGTGTGTTTATCAGTGCTGATCTCAGTACAGTGTTACCCAGCTGATAGAATAAACATCATCAGATCATCTGAAGAACAGAGTGACTGATCTGCTGCACATTTCAATATCATTTTTAACTATTTTAACAATCAAAACCAATTTAACAAAGCTTATTCTTTCAAAACCACAACTTTCAATTTACTGTATTCACACTGAGATTCATGTATAAAACTACTCCATCTGTTATAACTGACTGATGATACAGCTTCATTACTTTACTCTGCCAGCTTGAAAGTTAGTAAACTAAAGACTACACAGATCAAGAGAACAAAACAATGTATAAATTACTCCATAGTTAATAGGAAAAGCTTATTAGCAAACAAAGCAATTATTTACCACATATGGTTGTTTTATGCACATTTTTACCACACTGCTCTCTAAGATCAGATATTTCTCTATTCCTCTTTTACCAGTTTCTCCATTCAGGAGTCTGTTTATTGTCTGTACTGTCACTTTAAGAGACAGTCGAATTTGAGTCATCACTGTTCTCTCAACAGTCTGTCTGCAGTTGGTGAGTTAACAGGAAGAGGGCGCTGTTTTATCTGTTGTGTAAAATTAGGGACTTGAATTGTTTTAATGTTCAAATGCATTTACACATTTTTATTAAAGATAAGAGAACATAGAGATGTTGAAAACTGAAGAATTCAAGTAAAACACTTTAAAAACATCTGACACATATAAACTGTGGCATCTGCTTATAAAAAAGATCATGTTTTTATTGGGCTCTGTGGGGAAAAGCTCATGTAAATGCAAACATTAATGAGCATCCTGATAGAAAAATAAATCAGTTCTATCTGCAGAAAATGAGCTTACTATATATGAAACCATTTTACAAGGCTGCATATTTTTATATATTTTATTAATCAGAAATATACAATCATGAACATACAGAGATGCAGAGCTGAGCTCCACCCAGCATGTGAATGTGGTGAGAGAACACAATGCAGATCACTAACAGCCTCACACTGATCTTAACATGCTGAGAATAAGAGCTGTTACACAACATTTATATCAGAATGATTTCAGCTCTTAGCATTTCATACTCTTCACAGAGAAAAGATGCTCTGCACTGAATCATACAGATATGATTATATTTACAAAGAAAATTAAGCTTTTCACATTTTAGCAGATGTTTGGATTTATGAAGGTATCTACACGGAGTAATGAGTAAGAACAAAGAAACAACATAACATCTGTAGTTTTACATCTGTCATGGAAATCCTGACATCAGAACAAATCACAGGTTTTAAAAAGGAATAGTATTTATTTATGAAATGAAAGTGTTACAGACCAGACAGTGAAGAGATGAGAGCGGGCTCTGAATCGGTTTCCCTTATATAGGGATTTTATACCCTAAACTAGGTGTTGGCTGGATATCAAATAAGGCAGGTTTGACTGCTGTTCTAATCAGTCTTTGGCAGATTTCTGTTAATATAGCCATATTAGGTTGTGAATACATGCAGCATCTTCAGGTCATGCTGTACATGCATGACCAGAGATGCTCTGACTAGAATATCTTATGAAAGCAGAAGTAATGGGGGGTGTAGGACAGGTGACCGAGGTCAATCGCTATATGAGGATACATCCTGTTTTTGTATCTAGGCAGCTAAGCACTTCTATCAGTCAGAGGACAAGGTATTTTGTCCATGATCTTTTGCCTGTACATAGCCTTACACTCTGCAAGCAATAAAGCAAATACATGGAATTGATACAATTTCCATAACACATCTTAGCAGGAACTGAGTTTAAAAGCTAAAATAAAGAGATCATCATGTCTTGTAGATGAAGAACTGATACAGACTCAGACATTCATGTTTATCACATAAAGAGAGCTCCAGAAACACTGAGCTCACAGATATCATAGAGAAACATGAACAACAAAGAAACAGACAACCTCAGAACAAACATCCACAAACACAGTTCAATACAACATCCTTAATCTTAGTCCTAATCCACCATGTTCACTCACACTGGATCATGATGAAGGGATCTAAAGTGAATCCACTGTATATGGAGTTGATCACCTTCTCTGTTACTGAGTATCACAGTTTAATGTGTAGAACTCACTGCTAGAGTGTCGTACTCAGGAGAACTGGACTGAGGGTCCAGAGCTGTGTACAGGGCATCAGGAGAACTGGACTGAACAGCCTGTGTGAGGGAAAGAGAGAATGAAGCAGAGGAGGAGAAATGAAGAACTCCATTTAGTTTTCTGAGTTAGGAATTCTTTACAGATCTAGAGGGAGGATTTGTGAAGAGACACTTACTGCAAGTGTGTGGTACACATCATCAGAGGACCTGGCTGTGGGCTGAAGAGCTGTGTACGTGTCGTCCTTAGCATTACGGTCAGCGTTCTGGACAGAGGATGGTTAGAGAAGGTGTAGAGAGACTGAAGGAGTTTAGCGATCATTAAATAAGTTTACTGTAAGAACTTTTACTGAAGTAGAGAAAATAACTTCATCATGATTTACTGAATGAGAACAGAAGCTCTGTAACTTTAAACAGCACCATCACCTCCTCACAGCTGCATCACACAAACCTCAGTCTTATTGAGCCATCTAGTGTAAATGTTTTGTAATTACAGACATGCTTTACTACATTAAGCTTTTGATGGCAGCACTTTACAGTTACCGTAATGATACAATTATAAAAGCGATAAGTTACACTACTCTAAAAATTTTGAAAAAATGAATGTTAAAAAATAAGGGAATTGATCTTATAACTAATTTGTTATTGAGAAATGTCTATTGTTAAGGAATAAGAAATAATTTAATATTTATCAAAAATAACAATATAAATTTTAGATTTATTTATCTTATTACTACAAAATTACCATGTTATTACCATATTTACAACTCATTAACAATTTATAAATTATTACTAATGTGTTCATGAATGCCTGGAGGTTTACTGAAGCTCACCTCATTATCTTGCTCTTCTAGGTTTCTGTTTTGTCTTTTAGCTCTAAAGAAGAGAAAATCTGTTTCAATATATCTTTATTACTTATTTTATTCATGCCGAGTGAAAATGTATAAACTTGGTTATTTGTAGAGACTGTCTTTCAGAAAATCTCTATTTGAGTATTAAAATTAATAGAAATACTTCATGTGTGTGATAAAAAGAACAGTATTAGTAAGTAAACTAAATAAAGAATAACATAAATAATAAGTGAATAATATGAATCTCACCGCATCCAGAAAACTACAGTGAGCAGAGCTGCATTTCCACAGAGACTGACTCCAACAACTACATACAGAACCACTGAATACAGAACCACTGAACCACCTGCAGTGACACACACACACACACACACACACACACACACACACACACACACACACACACACACACACTGCAGTGTCAGTGTCACACATCGGGAGGACTTCATTTGGACTACATTGGGAGATCACGTGTCAGAGCAACTTCCCTCGGACTCGGAGTTTGTAACAGACTCCCTTGCCCACAATCCTTCAGGAGATCAAATGACATCAGACAATCGCTTGTGCACCTATCAGTGCTCGCAATCTTCAGACTATTAATGTTGTGCGCCTGTGTATGATATCATATGATCAGATTAGTTTAGTATTTAAGCCCAGGCTTAGTTTGAGACATTGCGAGGTATTGCTTCACTAAGAACTTACTAAGCATTCTATTCCAGTTGTCTGTGCCCTGTTATGACCTCTGCTTTGTTTCCCTGACTTTGTCTTTTGCCTAGCCCTTTTTGTACTTTTGCGCATTGTTTTGGATCTGTGTTTTTTGATTATTTGGCTTGTTTTTCGATCACGACTTTTGCTGATTCCCTTTGTTCTCTTCTGCCTGGTGTAATGATCACGATTGTGATCCTGTTGTATTTTTTGGATCTGACCCACAACTGTTTTCTGACCACGGCTTTGCCTGACGCTAATAAAACTACTTTAGCACATTTTATCCGTGACTGTCGGAATTCTGTTGACCCGTCACAGTCAAAATGTAACAAATATAGTCAACAAATATAAAAATTGATTTCAATAACTGTATTTGAAGAATATAAGCAATAATAAAACATTAAAGAAAAAATATTATTTATCACCTACTCTTAAAGGTGACCATCATGGTTCCTTTTAAAGCTCCATGTTCATTCTGAGCTTCACAGTAGTACAGTCCAGTGTGGTCAGCAGTGATGCTGATGATGCTGTAATTCTGTCCAGATCCTACAGGTGAGGTTCCACCTTCTTTAAACCAGGTGTAGATCTTCACAGGTGGGTTTGCATCACTGCTGCAGGTCAGAGTCAATGAACTGCCCTCCACTATTTCACCAGAGGGACTGATTGACACTGAGACATTGTTTGGAGGATCTATAGCAGAAGAAAAATTGAAAAGATATAATATGTTTATGTTTACTAAGATTCAGCTGAATTTAAGTTTAAACACTTTAACAGTCAGGGGCCAGAATTTTAACATAACTTCAAAATGTAAAAAATTGCTCAGCCAGATTGGATTGACATCCCTGTAGTTAATGAATTATAAGCCTGAATAATGAGGATTTTAAGGGGTTAATACCAGAAGATTAACTCACATGTAACATTAATCTGCACAGTGGATCTTCTCTCTCCATGTTCATTATGACTCTGGCATGTGTATTCTCCACTGTCCTCAGATCTGATGTTGGAAATGCTGTAGGTTTTTCCTTCTCCTACTGATGTTGATCCCTTAAACCAGGTGTAGATCTTCACAGGTGGGTTTCCATCACTGCTGCAGGTCAGAGTCACTGAACTGCCCTCCACTATTTCACCAGAGGGACTGATTGACACTGAGACGTTCTTTGGGGGATCTAGATAATTATTTGATTATTATAATTACATGATTTGTATTTGAAAGTTTGAATATTATTAAACGTGAAACATTTATTACATATTTAATATCTTGCTTAATTTATGCAAACAATGCTATTAAACAAGACAAACTGTTAAACAAGCCTGGAAAGCCAGGATACATTTTTAAAGTCAATAAATTTATTTACTCAGGGGGAAAAAAAGATGACATGACTCACATCTGACTCTGAGGTTCTGAGCAGTAGAGTGGAGGTGTTGATATCCTCTTACAGCACAGCTATAACTGCCTGCATCCTCACTGCTGACTGTCTGCAGGTGGAGCTGGTTGTTCTTGATGGTCTTTGTGGTTAAAGGACGTCCATTTTTGTACCAGATGAATGTTGGGTCAGTCAGACTGCAGGTGGTTTTACATGTCAGATCTGCTGTTTCTCCCTCTGTCACTTCTTCAGGAGTTTCCACATGGAGCTCTAAGACAATAAGAGGACCATCAGATCAGGAGAGAAAAGCTGTAAAGACAGTGAACTTCATTCATCAAAGTTATAAACGAGTGTAGATTTAATTAAACTGAATGATGTTTGATCTTCTCTGCTTCTGATTCAGGAAACTGTTGTACATCAAAACAAACAGTGATTTGGGTGCAATTTATAAATCAGCTTCAAGTTCATAGAAACAAACGAGAACCTTATTTTCATATCATCTGCAAAAATTAGGCCTCATGAACATATAATTTAAAAGAAGTGTGTCCTGCAAATGTAAAGATGGTGAATCAATATAACAAAAACATTCAGCAGCTGATGCAACATAAGTGGAGTTTGTGGTCGAGTACAGAAAGCTTTGAAATCTATATAGTGTTGAAACTACAATGACTAAAAAGAATAAAATGTGACATGAACAAAATGTAGCCGTTTTTCAGATCTGAAATTGATGTGATTGTTTAGTGTGATTAATTTTATAAAACACTGACTGCTTGAGTGACAATACAGTATATGAGATTCTACTGTACTCAGTAAACTATGTTTTGTATTGACTGGCAGTATATTTTACTCAAATATTAAATCAGTAATGAGCTAATTTTCAGTTGAGACCTCACACATGTTTGATGAATAAAGGCCAATGAAGGAAAAAAACAAACAAACAAACAAACAAACAAACATGAAAATAAAAAAAAAATAACTGTTCATAAAATATTCATCTAGTCTGGAACATATTTATATATTGTCCTTACATCTCCTTTTTTGTTTTGTTTTTTTACTTTTTTTGAATATTTTAAAAAATATGTCTTTTGCACTGTGTAATACTTTCACTATAAACAGAGAATCAGAAGTAGATTTTAAAAATGTTATAAATATGTAACTCTTCTTTGGTAAAGTTACCATTTTTGAAACAAAAGGTTTTGTTCCAGCAGCGACAATGTGTGTGTTATTTACAACATTTGCTGAATAATTGCTCTAAATGTTCATAACTTCAACATGAAAATTCTTTAAAGCAATATCTAAATAACAAGTTTTTTGAAAGGATTCATGTTTTTCCATGATTTGATGTGGAGAGGGTCAAAAATAAGATGAGCAGATAAACTGAATCAGGTGTAAGAACAGATAAAATGATGTAGAAGTGAATCAGAACAGAAGCTGAACATCATTAGAGCAGATCAATAAAATCAGTGATGAAAAAACAACATGAATATTCAGAGCAGTCATGAATCAGAAACATTACTCTGAAACCAGAGCTGTGTCTTATAGCTGGACAATGGGATGATTAACTCACCTGCAACTCTGAGCTGAACTCCAGATTTACCCAGCCATTTTTCTTTATCTACATCTGTTATGATTCTGAAGCAGAACTGATGTTCATCCTTCTTCATTACATCACTCAGTTTGAGGGAGAAGTGTTTCTGTTCATCAGTGAAATACTCAACTCTGCCTGAATAATCTGGGTCTTTACTCAGATCAGTTAGATCGACCCATGGAACTTCTAGGCACCAGAAAGTCTCATTCACTGTAAGACCTTCTGGGTGAGTATAAGTTCCATTCATAAACACTGTGGATCCTTTTAAAGCACATATTTCCCGTTGGTTGAACTTCACACTCCACTCTGTTCCAAAAGCTCCTGAAACATATGATGCATGAAAGAGCTGATTACAGAGTCTGGAGCCCATAAGACAGTCAGAGTTACTGTAGCTTACAGCTTCACTTCTCTCTAACTCCAGCAGCTACTCTACAACACTGAGCTGATTCTGAGAGAAACCACAAACCACAACAAACACTGACTCACCAACAATCATGAGCAGAAAGATCAGAGGAAGAGGTGGAGCCATTCTCAGTGACCTCATCACAGCAGCCTGGAGGATATTTTTAGTTAATGACAGTTAAATTATTTTTTTCTACATCTTCATCCAAAGTCGTTAAAAAGTCCAAAACGTTAAATGCTGACACTGTAATGAAATCTGTGTTTCATTTAATCAGTTCTTCATTTGTTTCATAATTATGTGTTATGGTAACCTGATTGAGGAACAAGAACTTATTATATTTTGAAAACCGTTATAAGTGATGTTTGAGTATTTATAACCAGCAGGTTCTTCACAAAGAAAGGTCTATACTGAGCAACATGGATCACCTTCTTCATTTAGAGCTATTCTAACCCCACAGTGTAGTTTTAATGCATCTCTTTTTGTTCCTCAAACAAAAACAGGACATTTTATTTGCATTGCATATGTTTTGTTTGTTACTTCTTAAGCATCATGTGATCATATGTTCTCCAGACCTTCCCCCCTAAACAATCCCACATGAGACAGTAAAGATAAACTGAACTTCTATGAAACCGAAATGGTAGAAACATCAGTCTAAACACAAATACCGAAATTTGTACTGCATCTTTCATAAACTATTAAAATATTCTGAATCAAACATACATCTTACCGTTCTGTAACGAGGCTCCTCTTCAACATCCACGTGATAAATGGTGAGAACAGAGACAGAACTGAGATGATAAACTAGATGTGGTTAAAAGATAAGTAGACAAATGAAACTCCCAGAGTTATTAATACACTCATTCCTCTTATAGAATATATGTGGTCATCTTAGCTGCAGCAAGAGATGAACTTTACCATAAACCTCTGAAAGATGCAAAATTATCTCTCAGTGAAACTATGATGTCTTTCTGTTTTAGATGTCTACTGAAGTTCTTTAATATTAGACATGTACTGATGTAGGACCAGTTCCTCCTCAGATGGGCAAGTTTAATTATTTTCCTTGTGTTTAACTGACTAACAATGTCAGAGTTTGTTGGCTTAAATGTATTTTGACCTAGAAGTGATGTAAGTCTAACTCTGAGTGAAAATCATTCGGGTTAAAGTGGTTTAATTAAGTAAAGTCAGCACATCTGCTCCTCTGTCTGCTCATGTGGAAGAAAAACACTGGACTTTTCCTTTCCCTCCTTTCTTTCAGGCTGATAAACAGGTAATGCAGTGTTTTATAGTAACTTCCACTGTTATTTTTTTCTAACTTTTTTTTGGTTAGTATGTTGGTTAGCATGTTAGTTGGTTCATAACTTTGAGATTTTGCATTTTAGCATGTAGTCTAGCACGTTTGTTTGCATTTAGCACATTCCCAGATAAGAAGTCAGCACCGAGCTGCTGTGTCTTATCCACTCGTACCAGCACAACACACACTAACACACCACCACCACGTCAGTGCTACTGCAGTGCTGAGAATGATCCACCACCCAAATAGTACCTGCTCTGTGAGGGTCCATGGGGGTCCTGACCACTGAAGAACAGGGTAAAAGGGGGCTAACAAAGTATGCAGAGAAACAGATGGACTACAGTCTGTAACTGTAGAACTACAAAGTGCACCTATATAGTAAGTGGAGCTGATAAAATGGACACTGAGTGTAGAAACAAGGAGGTGCTCATAATGTTATGCCTGATCTGTGTACATCTGTACTTTATGTAGTTCTGTGTTATGTGCTGCTGTTTTGTGATGCACCGTGTGGCCTGAAGAATAACTTGTAGATTAATAACAAAACTAGTAGATATGTACATTTAAACATTGAATTTGTGTCTGTATGTTCCTATGGCCTGTTTGTAGTATGAAGCTTGGCGTGTAACTTTATATATGTCATGTCTTTAGCCTGGCGGGTGCTCAGAGGCCACATCTGGGTGTGAATGATGTCATTTTCTCTGAAAGTATGAGACGAACAACAGCAGCAGTAGCACATATTTTCAGGATTCTACTTTTAGAACTGAACTCATGATGATGGAAGTCTGATATGCTGATTAACTTAATGAATTGTTGTTGCCTATAGTTACTGTCTTTCAAGGGGGATCTTATTTTCTGTACGTAGTTTAAGCTGTGAAGTAGGATCCCAACCCTGTTCCCAGTCCAGTCATGAAATAAATATTCCACAGTCAACTGTCAGTGGTATTATACCAAAGTGGAAGTGATTGGGAACGACAGCAACTCAGCCAAGAAGTGGTAGGCCACGTAAAATGACAGAGCAGGGTCAGCTATGCTGAGGCGCAAAGTGTGCAGAGGTTGCCGACTTTCTGCAGAGTCAATCGCTATAGACCTCCAAACTTCATGTGGCCTTCAGATTAGCTCAAGAACAGCGTAGAGAGCTTCATGGAATGGGTTTCCATAGCCGAGCAGCTGCATCCAAGCCTGTTACGTTCCTCCCTAAGGGTGTAAGGGTTTACAAAGGGTTTACAAAGAAACAAGCCATATCTCCAGGGGTAAGCCAGGCCAAAATAACAAACCAAATCCACTAACTCCACCCACAAATCTGACTAGCTACTCATCAAACCAAAATCAAACAAAAGACAGGCAACTAACCTATCAGCTGGAGGGGCTTCTGTGGCAGCCTTCAGGGTCAGGGACAGCTCCACCTAGTGACATGGAGGGATACACAAACAGACACCACAAAACAGAAAGAACAAGACACATAGGCACAGCCATAACAAAGCCTTACATCACCAAGCACAATGCAAAGCGTCGAATGCAGTGGTGTAAAGCGCAGACACTTGACTCTAGAGCAGTGGAGACGTGTTCTCTGGAGTGACGAATCACGCTTCTCCGTCTGGCAATCTGCTGGATGAGTCTGGGTTTGGTGGTTGCCAGGAGAACGTTACTTGTCTGACTGCATTGTGCCAAGAGTAAAGTTTAGTGGAGGGGCTGTTATGGTGTGGTGTTGTTTTTCAGAAGTTGGGCTCGGCTCCTTAGTTCCAGTGAAAGGAACTCTTAATGCTTCAGCAGATCAAGAGATTTTGGAGAATTTCATACTCCCAACTTTGTAGGAACAGTTTGGGGACGGCCCCTTCCTGTTCCAACATGACTGAGCACCAGTGAACAAAGCAAGGTCCACAAAGACATGGATGATCAAGTTTGTTGTGGAAGAACTTGACTGGCCTGCACAGAGTCCAGACCTAAACCCGATACAACACCTTTGGGATGAATTAGAGCGGAGACTGTGAGCCAGGCCTTCTCGTCCAACACCAGTGTCTGACCTCACAAATGCGCTTCTGGAAGAATGGTCAAGAATTCCCATGAACACACTCCTAACCCTTGTGGAAAGCCTTCCCAGAAGAGCTGGAGCTGTTATAGCTGCAAAGGGTGAGCTGACATCATATTAAACCCTATGGATTAAGAATGGGATGTCACTCAAGTTCATATGCGTGTGGAGGCAGATGAGCGAATACTTAGTGTATAACATTGTTGTATTAATTCTGGTAATTGTCAGATTTCATAATGTTTGATGTCATGAAAGTTTGTCACATGCTGATTTTAGTTAAATGTACTCAGCATTTAAGACATCTGAACATAATCTGTCATGACGACTTATGAGAGCCTCCATTTCCACTTGTCTCTAAAATGCATCTGCAGTTTGACTAGATCAGATCTGTTTGTACTTTTCTCACATAAAAAGTACATCAACAAATTCATCATTTCTGTTTTAAATTTCTTTACCTTTTTTGTTGTTACATGCTTGGCGCTAAAATCAGCCTCAGTTTTTTGCTTCATAGTTTATCTTCTTAGTTGCCAGTCAGCGCTCAGCAGACGCACTTATGTACATGTGATTGAATACAGATAATAATGAATGTATTCCATTTACACACATTAAGTGTGGTCAAAATCATCTCTGACTACCTCCAAGTGTGGTTTGAGTGATCCGATTGCATTCACAGTGCGTTCTGTGGGTGTTTACATCTAGATTTTCATGCAGTTACCTTTTTTTCTTGTTACATGAAATACAAACAATATCCAATCACCAATAATCTGATTGTTCAGTCTCAGTTTAGCTCCCTCAAATCAGGAAAAAAGGAGGCACAAACACACTTTTAAACAAAGTAAAGAAAATATAAACTTGAAACTAAACTGTGAAACAAACCAAGAACTAAACTACAGCTTAACTTTATAGACTCTTCACAACCCACCACTCTGAAAAGATTATAATTAATTTGGGACCTACAGATTAAATTCCCTCCATAGACAGAATTAATCTCTACTAGATTCACTTTGATGATGAGTTGACAAGTATTTTCTTTTCCAGCAGCAGGTTTGTGAATGTCTGTGTTATCAGTCAGGCTTTGCTGCAAAACAGACTTAATATCCTGATTCAGAATCAGTTTTGCACACATTCATAACAACTTTAACTGTTAGAGGAACATACTAGTGTGGGATACAGAGGACTAAAGCACTTACTTAGGATTTCTCAGAGATTCTATTACTGGTTACAACTGGTGAATGACAGACGGTTCAGACTGATATCAGAAATATGATACATTTTCCTTTGTGGTCAGTGAAATATTAATGCCAAAAGATGAATTAAATTTATGCTGTATCTATTTCTTTTCTTTAGATGCCCATCGCTCCACATATTCTCCTCCATCAGTACAGATATAATCCACATATCGCTCTCTTTTTCTCTCTGCAGGTATGAGCTCTTCCTCTCTCTCTGTTTTCTTACTTGTGTCTCCATTAGATAATCTATTAAACCATTAATGCCTGTAAGTCTATTATAACTTCTGTACTATGACAACTCAAGATGAAGTATAAACCTAATAACTGCAAAGAGTGCCATCTTTAACATTAGACACATTAATTAGCATCTGT